CAGATAGTCACGCAGTGTGAAAACAACGGCGATCCGACGAGTTTGAAAATCGTGCAGTGTGAACTCGGCATTAGAAAGGAAAAAAAACTATTTTAGACAATGGTGTAGGGCTGCAACTAACGATTATTTTGATAATCGATTAGTTGGTCGATTATTTTTTCGATTAATCAGATTAAAAACAAACAATTTTATTTTTTTATTTTATTGACAAAAACACACTAAGCTTAACATAAAGAATTCTCATGTTGTGGGCAGCTTGGATCACGTAACTCTCCTGCAGCATCTCATTCTGTTTCCTCCGCTATTTTAGATGCATTTTGTCCATAGAAATAAGTAATTCAGTGCTTTAATTTGACGCGACCGGCTGAAGTTGGATAAGTATGTAAACTCTGGACACTGCACTGTGGGCAGACCCGTTTAATCGATAATGAGAATCGTTGTCGATGATTTTCATAATCGATTTTATCGATTAGTTGTTGCAGCCCTACAATGGTGCAACACGTAGTTTTTGTATATATTTTTAATGGATATAAATCATTTTCACATAATAAATATTGAAATGGTTAATGTTTATTTCACTCTTTGCTTACATTATCAGTCATAAATATATTTTAAAAAATGAAAGATTGAAATTCTGGGTTTGGACTTTTGGAGCAAAATTAAATGACAGACATGGTAATTTAAACATGGTTTTCCTAAATAGATTTAACCTTCTGGTACATTTGGGAGTCCTGAAATGTAACTTTTTTTTTTTCAGTGAAATCAATGTAATATATTTTTGTTCAATAATATTTTTTATTTTGTATTTTGAGAGAATTTCATGGTTTTTAATATTTATGCAATAATTATGATCATTATTTCCCATTGAAAATAATACCAAAAAAAATCTAATATTTTTCTATTACTTCTATTACAGCCACTGTGCAGGTTTCTCTTTGTGAGGTTTGGTTAGCAGTGACTGAAACGCAGCTTTACACACAACTGCCAGTCTGCATGGAGAGGATCTTGAGACTCCAGTAGCTTCAAACACCTGTCTGCTGCTCAGCAGTGGCTTTTTTACAGCTGGCATTACAACACAGTTAATTTGTTTGACAGAAACTTTCCTTAATAAATCTTTATCTGACCAAGATCTTCTGACCAAGAAGTCACTCACAAATCTTTTGACAGTTCAATAATCTCTATTTGCTTTTTGCAAAATATAGTTTGTTTTGATGCCTTTTGCAAGACATTGCATTGTTTCATATTTTTCATCTTCAGAAAGATCTTTCTTCCTCACCATATTACATGAGAACTGTGACTTGCCGTGAGAGCTGCCACGGAGAGCAAGGAGAACATGTGGAACAACCTCTTTAAGTAGGGTTTCGATTGACCTAAGAAGACCTGGCAAACTATTGAACAAACCTGTCTGAGATAGTTATCTAAAAAGATGTGAAAATCAAAACAAACAAAAATCTGACTCTTTATTGTACCGAAATCCTATGTCACTTGCATAATAATTTGGAACACAGTGTAGATTCCTATAGAGCTCTATATAAAAGGCTTATAAATTCTCTTGTTGTTTGTAGACATTTTTTTTTTTAAGTTGGGTATTTGGATTTATATTTAGACATTCTCAAAGACAATTTTTTGTAAAGGTTTAGATTTTTTTTTTTATGTCAGTTTTTGCATTACTTTTACTACAGTCAAAGCAGAACACAAAGAAATACATTTTATTACACATAACATCAGAGATCAACAAAAATGTAACAAATATGAACAGGAATACTTTATCAGTTAATCAATCTGATTTCAACCTCTTATTTGAGTCTTCTGGCTCAATTTTGCCATATTGTAACAGCCAAACCAGTTCATTTGTGTGTGTGTTTATAATAGTGTTGTGTCTGTCTGTGTGTGCGTGTGTGTGACTGTGTGTAAGTGAGTGTGTGTTTTAGTGTGTGTGTCCGTTTTATACTCTTGATGTTTAGTCACGTCACCCCTTCCTTGGTGTACTTGTTTTTACGCCATTGTGGCTAAATTATTGATTTTATTTCACATATTTGCAAAAACATGCTTTGTGTTACAGTCACACTAGCTCACATATATGTGTGTCTGTGGGGGGAGTGTGTCTGTTTTGCACTCTTGATATTTTAGAGTGTCACCCCTTCATTGCTTGCACTTTTTTCTGCATTGTGAATGATTTGTAGATTGTACACACAAAAAATGCTCTGTATTTTTGCGTATTTCCCATTCATTTCCACTGGCAGTCATTTTTGACAGCGAACAACACAAGTATGATGCTTTTTCGAATCAAGTCCACGATTTTGTATTATTATTTTTTTTGTGTGGTCACATAGTGACTGCCATAAAAGTCATCGAGTTTTGTACCGTTTCAATGAAGTAGCGATTTTTAACATTTCAAAACTTTTTTTTCCGGTCTAAAATGACCGAACAATACCAGAGGTTTCATGTGACCTTCATATAAAACAATAAATAAATAACTGAAATTAGTTGATTCAATACAATTTTTATTGGCAGTAACTTGAATGAAAATGCAAGTACTGGCAAGTACTGCACTGCTGGTATACAGGTTCCTCTAGTTATGCTAGTGTTTATTTTTAGTTTTTATATCTATAATATTTTAATATGTAAGTTGCTGAATGAGTAATGAACTTATGAATTTACAAAGAAATGTAAAACCACACCTACATTTAAATACATGTACATGGAAACATTTAAATAATGCACATACATGCTTAACTAATAATAAAAAACTCCCAGTGAAAGTGGGCTATTCATTAAATGTGCAGGGCTGGCCTTAATCTCAGTAGGGTGTGTCTACTGACAGCAGATGTGAACTGTTTCAATGAGGAACGGCTGGCCAGCTACAAGAAAGACTGATCTTTTGATTGTTGTGATTTCTGCCTTGGATTATGCCTGTACCATGGAAACATCAATCCCTTCGCTTCTGCTGGTTCTGTGGCTCAAGAGTTTGCTGAACTGGCTGGTGGTCGTGGTGCAGCGACACTATGTGATCAGGAGTTTCTCAGGATTCTTCTGCATTTCATTGTCACTGATTGACAGTCTCTTGAGTTTTGTCCTGACAGCTATTTTCTATCTGGAAGACTTCAACATCTCAGGCTGGCACTTGACCAGGTATCACATATGCCTGCTGGCTCAGATTACTTGTTTTATCTACACCGTGCTCCACTGGCCAGTTTTCCTCCTTGTAGGACTAGATAACTTCTGGAAGCTATCATCAAGCTCAACACACACATCCTGGAAACAAAAACTGACTTACTGTGCTGGAGTGTGCCTCCTTTGGATTCTAGCAGCGTTGTACGTTTTCTCGGAGCCTGATGTTGTTCTGTTATTAGGAGATGATGAGAAGCACCAGTGCGAGCTGTTTAGTAGCCCTCAGAGTTCTCAGGTTCTCGTCGCGTTGCTGCTGACAGTCACCGGCGTCATTCTTTACTCGTACGCTCCGCTAGAGAAATGGAGGGTGCAGGTGTTTCTGCATTTCGCTCAACAAAGCTGTGTGGTTTGTTTAAGGCGGGCTATGTGTACGTTCCTCAGCACATGGGCCTCGTTTCTCGTTCTGATGATCGTCTCGCCGCTGCTCCCGCTCCGGATAGAGATGCACGCGCACCTGCAGTTGAACGTCATCTGGTTGTGTTTCCTCAACAGCTTTTCCGTCGCTTTGGCTCTGTGCGGCCGCTCTTTTACATCGAGTTCCAAGAACAGCGACACCATCACAGATGGTTTTTGTTCCTGGTACGTTTGTTTTACATATGGAGCTGACGAGTGGAATTAGCTATGGACAACAATCCAGTGACCGCACTCAAGTTTAAAACACTACACAATATCTGACCATGTTTACTCAGGAGAAGGCGTTATTTGCTTTCGTGTTTGCATTAAAAAAAGGAAAAAAGAAACACCTTTGGGTTTGTAAATTACAAAAAAAATGTTGCACAAATGATTCGTCTCTTTACTATGAGAAAAATTCATATTGGACCAGCACCTTTTACCAGACTGATGTAAAAATTTTAATTTCTGCTTCAAACAGCTAACAATTACAAGTGCTTTTCTGTCTATATATAAATAAACCGAACCCAGTTTAAGAGCATTTACTAAGACAGCATTAGAGAAAGTGCTCCCGCTCCGGATAGAGATGCACGCGCACCTGCAGTTGAACGTCATCTGGTTGTGTTTCCTCAACAGCTTTTCCGTCGCTTTGGCTCTGTGCGGCCGCTCTTTTACATCGAGTTCCAAGAACAGCGACACCATCACAGATGGTTTTTGTTCCTGGTACGTTTGTTTTACATATGGAGCTGACGAGTGGAATTAGCTATGGACAACAATCCAGTGACCGCACTCAAGTTTAAAACACTACACAATATCTGACCATGTTTACTCAGGAGAAGGCGTTATTTGCTTTCGTGTTTGCATTAAAAAAAAGGAAAAAAGAAACACCTTTGGGTTTGTAAATTACAAAAAAAACGTTGCACAAATGATTCGTCTCTTTACTATGAGAAAAATTCATATTGGACCAGCACCTTTTACCAGACTGATGTAAAAATTGTAATTTCTGCTTCAAACAGCTAACAATTACAAGTGCTTTTCTGTCTATATATAAATAAACCGAACCCAGTTTAAGAACATTTACTAAGACAGCATTAGAGAAAGATGATCCAAAATGAAAATGTTGTCAATTTACTCAACCCTATGTCGTTTTAAACTTGTATGTCTTTCTTCTGCGGAACACAAAATAAGATTTAACCCTTTAAAGACATGAAATAATAGTCAGACAAATAAATTTTTTAATGGAGTTTTAAAAATGTTTTAATTAATAAAGAGTTTATTGAAACTTTAGACAAAATATAAAAGAATATATATATATATATACACACAGTACCTATAAAAAGTATTTATACCCCTTCATTTTTTAGGCCTAATTAATTAACATTGTTAACATTAACATTTGGTATGAATGTGACAGCAGCTTTTATACCTGTCTGTCAGTCTATGTTAAAGAACAAAAGAAAAAAAAATCACTCTGCTCAAATCTGCTCTTGATTAAATAACTTTTTCATATTTAATATGGATTAATATATAAATATAATCTATATCTATGAC